CCCGCCGCCAAGACTCACCCACATCTCTTTTACCGCTGAAGCTCTTTTACAACAGCTGACGCCTCTCCGCAACGACAGCTCCCCGGTGTCGAGACCGTTCGTCCAGAAGCACTGGGAGCAGCAACAAGATAACAGGCAGAACCTTCTGTCCAGTTTCTCCAGCGCTGCTTAGACCAGAACCAGGTTCATACTATGTGGAAGCTTGGCATAATAACTCTGATTCACAAAGGCGGAAGCTGAACTTAACCTTCAAACTACTGCCCAGTATGTCTTCTCCTTATACTATTCAAGATCATGGAATCCATCACTGCCGATACGCTTGTGTGCTATCTGAATCACATTATTATTCCCGAGCAGCACCGCTTCCGTCGACAGCGATCGTGCACTATATATATATTCAACACGGCCACTAGTACAGTTGGCATAGTGCCACGACGTATGGAAGATACAATAAACATACGAAGACAGAGGGGGAAAAGAAACGATGTTCATGGGAATAGTGTGTCACAAGTCCGCCATTGTGTACGATAAGATAAGCGATGAGTAGGCATGAGGAGAACGTGCCCAAGCCACTAAAGTCTGCGCAGCGAAATTATACTGCTCAGTGGCCGGCAGTCTGTCTGATCTGTAAATCCTTCGTCGAGTATCTTCATTCCTAGTGTGATGTTGCCATCGTACAGGAGCAATGCTCCGATGGCAGCGGTGATCAAAAAAGAGATTCTCAGCATCCTTTGCGCGAACAGGCCAAGTCTCGCAACCATATAGAAGAACCGCTCTCACTGTAGCACTGTAAACTCTGCCGTTCAGAGGTAGACTCAGATCACCTCGACGCTAGAGATGGCGAAGATTGACCAAAGCAACCTGAGCCTTGGAGACGCGCAAAGAAACCTCATCCGTTAAACCATTAGTGCTGAGGCAGCTTCCGAGGTAAACGAACTTGTCCACCACTTCCCTTGAATGACCTAGAAGGTAAGGTTTGGAGCAGCGCTTAGCTAGTCCTGCAGGAAAACCTTGCATTCCGATGGTGCGTAGGTCATTCTAAACTGGGAGACAAACATCTCTCACCTACACAGGATATTTTGTGCGGCATGTGAGAAAACACAGATTACCACGATGTCGTCGACATACTCCAAATCCCGAAGTCGGTCCCCCGGAAGCAGTTCGACCTCGCTGGGTTCGCAGATTTTCAGAGCACTCTCCAAGATTTCGTCTATAGCGAAACTGAACAAGAAAAGGCGTGCTGGTCAACTCTGTCTTACGCCACTGGTGATACCAAAGGGGGGCGAAACTCCGCCATACACCCGCACTCAGCCCGAGCTTTGAGAATAGATATCTTGTAGTAAGGTGACATACTTCTCGGGCACTCCTCTTCTCAGTAGACAACTCCAGAGAGCAGCTCTATCGACTGAGTTAAACGCGGCTCGTATGTTTAAGAAGACAACGGTCGTTGGCTGGCCAACTATTTGACGACGCTCGAGTATTCAGCGGAGGGTAAACATGTGATAAATGCAACTCCGACCTGAGCGGAACCCAGCTTGCTCTTCATGTATGGTCTGTTCGCGTACCAGGGCTGAGCCTCCTTAGAAGCAAAGCTGCGAGCATGTTGGAAGCAACACAGATGAGACTAAGCCCTCTGTAGCTGATGCAGTCAGTTCGGGTACCCTTTTTGAGGACGAGCACGATATGCGCTAGGCTCCAATCAGCTGGGATAACTTCAGTGACTCAGGTCTCTTGAAGGAGAGAAGTTAACGCCAGAACTAGTGATGGGCCACCATCTTTGTAAAGAACCGGAGGGAGTTCATCTTGGCCGGGGGCTTCGTAGCGCTTTAAGAGGCGAAGCTCATGGACAACCTCAGCCTCGGATGGTGGTGAAACGTCTACACAACAGGCAGCGCTCTGGGCTCCAGAATGGGAACTCATTGGTGCTGCTGGCCAATTAAACTACTGCTCAAAATGCTCAACCCAACGATCGAGTCGGCGTTTTTGACAGTGTATTGGCTCGCCATTGGTTTCGCATAATATTTGGCGAGGAATTCAGGTGAATGCCGACCAGCATCTGCTTCAAAGTGACCTATACACAGTGCATCAATAGTCAATCCGAAATCTGCTGCATTTCAACGTGAGTACATGCAGCGTACTCTTCATACGACAACAAATCAGCTACTCATACAGACTCGGAACACATGTACTGCATCGATCTTTCGTCAGGCGTGATCTGGGTGTGCTGGTGCTGGGTGACAGATTGTTTGTTGCGATCCAAAAAAACCTCGAAAGTTGGTAACGAACACGTCGCATTGTGGCAACGAGCGTTCGTGAGAATAGTCATCACTTTTCCGACTGTTGCTAGGTGCGTACGTTCGCCCCCATGTCGAATACGTAATTCAAGCGTGGCATTGTGACTGAGACATAACTTGCACTGATGCACTGCACTGCACTGATGCAGCCTCAACGTCGGACATCCAAGTACGCCATTGAAATGCACAATCCTCCATACGAGCAGAGTCTGAGGCGTCTTGGAGTAATTCGACGGACACCATCACCGATTACGAGACGATTTGATAATAGCCTAGTTGATTCTGCACGACCCGCATCATAAGTACCGCTCCTTACTGCAATTCGGCAGTAATACATATCTGAGAGTTCACCCATTGAAACTCGCAGTACGGTACAGCTTTCTGGAGTGCCGCAGAAATTTGTTTTCTGTTCGCGTGTGTCACTCGTGGAATGCTCTCTCCTAATCGGTCGTCTCTGTACAGACACTAGCAGTGTTAATAAACGGTTAGATGAAGCACTTATCCACTTACACTTTGTTATTTAACACTATGTCTCCATCTTACTACTGGAACGTACCTTGGATTTATTTGCCGTTACCTGTGAGAGCTGTGAAACTACGTGGATTGTAGAACTACAGCATGACAGACGACAAGTCTTTCTATTCATACCTAAAGTACTAATTGTTTTTTTCAATAACCCCACCAGACCACCCAACGGAACTTGGAAAGCAGTGATCCTTAACCCACATAAGTTCATTCTTCACTGTTATAAACACCATCACTGCGGATACATTAAATAATGGAACCAGTTATGTAATATACAAAAAGAAAACGAACTTTTACCAGAACCACTTTATTATATATTGCACGATATTTTAGGAAGTTTCCTCCTCAAAGTAGTCCCCTCTACTGGCAATACACCGTTCCCAACGGTTCTTTCATTTTGAAAAGCCTGGTACGCACTTCCTGGGATGGTGCGTAGGTCTCTTGTCGCATTGCCCCGAATCTCCGCTATGGTTTGGAAACGACATCGTTTCAACAGGGTTTTAAGTTTGCGAAACAGGAAAAAGTATGCAGGAGCTAGGTCCGGATAATACGGTGGTTGGGGCACAACGGGAGTGTGATATTTTGCTAGATAGCTGCGGACATGGAGCTATGCATGAGCCGGCGCATTTTCATGGTGCAACATCTAAGTCTGGTTTTCTCACAGTTCATGCCTCTTTCTGCGTACAGCATCCCTCCAACGCGCTAGAATTTGGTAGCATGATCCAACGCTGATGTTCACTAAGTCAACCCCTTCCCGAACAATTAAACGACCATTTTCAAGCATCACAGCAAGAACTCCTGCCGTGGTCATGGTCTGTCGGTGTGGAAGGTTATTCAGCCTTGAAATCGTCACCCACCGATATTCTACCGTGTTTAAAAGACTTAAACCACCTATAGCGCTGCGTGCTACTCATACAGTCCTCCCCGTATGTTTGGCTAGACAATTGAAATGTCCCTATAAAAGTTTTCTCAAGTTTGTAGCAAAACTACACTCACGCACACACGTTGTTCTTCAAGCTCTTTCATTGTCTCTGTGGCACTAATCCGACGAACAGCTTCTGCACGTATTCCCTTCAGTGGCTGTAGCTCCCCAACCAACCGCCAGAGCGAGATGCGGCACATGGTAATTTGGTGTCTGAGCAAGCCGCCACATGCCCACACTAGCCGCGGGCGCTCCTTCTGCCGGTTGCCGTGCTATTTCAAAAGTTCCGTTGCTTTTGAACAACCCTCGGGAGCGAGGCCTGCTGTCTCCACCTGATGAGATGAAATTACATCGAAACGCGTCGTGGTTGTGCAGTGTTTTCGGGTGGGCAACACCCACTTTCCATCTACTTTGAATACGGTCCCAGTGATCGCAGTGACTAAGGTTCATTTCAATGTGAATCACAGTCCATTACATTGAGATTGCGTGTCGCAATCCAATCACACAACGTGTAGTCCAAACTTGAGCCTCCAAACTCATAATTTGTTCTTTGTTCATTGAATTGTCGGTTGAACCGAATAATGAATGCATCTGTGTATAACTGTCTAACTCTTATCTCGGTATACGTTACTCTTCAAACTTAAATTTATCAGAGCAGGCTGAGTACTAAATAGCACGCGTCAAACGATCTATGTCTAACATATGCCATAAGATCTATACAGTCCCTGCCAAAATCGAGCTTTTCAAAGTCCCCACATTTTCATTCCTTGAACACTGCGGTATTATTTATGGGAACATGTGTACTGGTGACAGATAACTTCCGGAAATCCTGCTTAGGTCAATCATTAATTGTTTGTTTAGTAAATCGTCCTTCCTGAGCCATCAGAAACGTTACCAGAAGCTCAACTTCGAGCCCATTTGGTGGCGACAACAAACCTAACCTGGTGCTCATGGACAATCTCACAAAGCAAAAGATATCCCCATCTGTGCACATTATAATTGCAACATAACCACCCGGAAATTTCGCAGCAAGACTTGTAAACTACTTGTGCAAAGAACCAGCACAGCTATTCGATACAACTTCTTCCTCGTCAGATACGTTGTCGTGTGGGATGTTCTACTAGCCACTGTCATGTCCTGTACACATGCAAGGACACTCTGCATTAAACTTGAAAGTTTCCTAGACCATAAATCGATAATGACCATTTTTCATCGGACAAATCGATGAAAGAGTTTGTCAAGGAAGAACCAAAGAATATATAACAAGTGAGGAAAAGTGTTCAACGAAACTCGGCATCAACAAAAGCCATACGTTTTAGAATCATTTGATGACACATACGCTCCAGAGTACAAATCTCACTCATGCAAGAGCATGATCATTATTGTATGAATGATCTGTCCCGATTTCAGGGACAGCCTCTTGCCCAATCTAGAGATATACGCATTATTACAGGTAATCCCTGACAATGCCGCTCTTCCTATGGATACAGGCTAATGATGAAAGATTTTTGGTGCTATGCTACTGACAAACGTAGCGTCGAAACAGCTCCCTTTAGCATGACAGTAACTATCGTTCGGTCGCGGTTGTCATTTTCATTTTCAACTACTCGAACGTCACTAGTGAATTTACCTAGTGGCCTTATCCCGGAAATTCCATCCGATCGGGGGGGGGGGGTCTGATGACTTTGTTGAACTAATATTGTGCAACCGCCCCATTCCTCTATTGCCTGTCGAATTTGCAAGCCGGGATTTCTGACGCACTGCCATTGCCACGTGATGTCGATGATTATGCTTAAGAACAAGCGAACAGGAGGGCTTCCGGTTGACCGGGACTAACAAAATATCATTCATTATCAAAGCGAGTGGCACACGAGAAAATGGAGTCCGGAACCGGAATACAGGTGCTTTTGTGACTGACTGTAGACCAAGAATAAGTGGAATGTCTGAATTGTTCGATCTAGTTTGTCACTGTGACCAGATAGCAATTTGCTGACCCGACTGCATCTGACCAATTTTTGCGAGCGTGTTGCTGGTCCTAATCATAGTCCTTGCTGACTCACTTGCCCACGTGACCGGGGATAAACATGACGGCACAGAGGCGTTGGTCATCTCCATGACGAGCAGTAGACTGAGACAATCAGCTGGTACTGGCGACGTACTCAGCGCACCGATCCACAATCCAACTGACTGCCAGTGACTTGCAGGACGAATTGGTTGCGTCGGATTGATTATCATACCAAACTGTACAAAGGTGCAGGCGAGTAGCGTTTGCATCGTCCATGGCCAAGAGGAACGCAACCTCGTTGGTGAGAACCAAGTATCCGCGCTGGATCCTCGAGAATCGAATATCAGCTGGGCAATCAAGTTTCCGTCACTGTCGGATATCTGGACGCGCACTTGCTGAAATCCGACGAGTATTGCTGGCATTGGGGAACCGTGCTTTCGGTGTGTTGGGTGCCGCCAATTCTCCACTGCTTTGCTCCGATACCAACATTGACACGGAGGGCTTGTGTCCTGAGTTCCGTTCAGTTCAGGGCTGTGCTTCAACGGATGGTAACCAGGTGGACTTGTAACTCTTTGATGCCACAGGTTAGCAAACGAAATTCCTGTACTGACGTCTAAAGCGAACAGTAGCGGATATGCTTTTGCAACCGTTTGGCCGTCCTTTGAAGTCATCAAGCTGTACGGGCTTGCGTAGATGCGCAGTTCATCCGCCACATCCACACTCTTGCTATCGGCGAACGTTGGTGGCAAACCAGAGTCCTCTTCTTGGATTACTCCCGACCAGAGTTTGGTTGGCAGGGTGTAAATGAAAATGGGGAACTTCCTTGTTTTTCCGGTTGCGTTATTATGCAGCCACGGACACGCAGACACCGTTGTATCTGCATCCAAAATGAGAAGATATCCCCGCAATTTTGGGCACGTCGGGTCCATGCTCAGCTCATCCTGGTTGCTCACTGAAGCCGGGTTGTACACAATAGAGAACGGCTCGTTCCTGAAATCGTAAGCATGCCATTTGGTTAGCACTCGCTCTCAGTAGGCATAGGGTAATCGGTAAAGCTAGGCGATGATGCTCAACGGTATTATAATTTATTTTAAGTAATAAGGTCACCAATTTTGGTGCGCAATCTTCCGATCCTGAAAATGTAGCAGGAGCTATCGTTTGGACATTTAGTTGCAGTGTTAAGGACTGATTTCGATCCATATATTGTATGTGGAAAAGCGAAGGCTCGCTAATTTCGGAGAGATCTCTATTTGATAATTAGCATTAGTCGGTTACATTTACAGAAATGATTGAAGCGCAGTTAGCTAAGAGAAGCAGTCTCGAGGTTATTTGAGTTACCATGATTTAAACTTCCACATGGGACACCGAGGACTGCCTAATGTGAACTACATTCCATTCGGCTGAACAAAGTGCACTTCGCGTATATGTCAATGTGCTCTGTCACACCGTGCCACTATATATAGAGTGTGTCGGTTTTGGTCTCGAACGAATAGAATGGTGCTGTTCAAATGTTCGTAATTCGATAAATATTGCTACCACAAGAATTATTGTAAAGTTAATTTCCTGATGAGAATGAACGAAAAGAGATCAACATCACCTTTAACCCTCTCTTTGCTTTTAATTCTACTTGCTATTTGCCTCAACTCATAAAGAAATGCATGACGAGTTACTGGAGCCACTATCATTGTCTCGTGGCCGTCAGAATCATGCACTTGTCTCTTCCCCATGCAGCTTTACGTGTCACACTCCGTCAGAAAATCTGATAGATTAAATAATCACTATCACATCTGAAAAACTACACGCTGCGTATAGTGCTCCTCCACAGCTGAAACACGCAATTAACAAAAATGCCTTTAATCGATAAAAAATAGCATTATCAGCCTCCGATGAGTATGCTGAGTTGCATTCGGCGCATTCGTTTGCAATAAGTCAAGGGACCACCAAAGCATAATCTTACATTTACCAAACCTTCCATGTTGTCTGAATTCAAGTGCATGCCAGGCTTCACGATGGCAAGACGGAATCACGAATTTGGGCATTCGCCAGCGTTCTCTAACGCTATCCTCGGTTTCAACCTACAGCCGTTTTATCACTGATTTCCATACTAGCTTACAGATCTCGAATGCTTCGCTGTTGTGATGGGTTGCGGTTGAATATCCTCGACAAGCTGATGATGATCACTTTATCTAAGACTTCCACTTCAAAAGTTTCAAACTTGCGCGAAAGAACAATATTTCGACAGGATAATCAAAGTGCAGCTGTTTCGCGTATTCTCATCCGCCGTTTACATACAATTCGTGGAATGGCTAGGTTGCATACAAAGACATCCAAGGTGTAACCCCATGGGAACTAGGACGAAATGATACTGTGGTCATACTGAGGCCTGACAAGTGAGCAGATGTAATTACACAGAAAAAAGTTGCTTCTGCTAAGAAAATGCATATGATTCTCTCCGACAAGAGCATTTTCGTTCGCGATGTGAGAGGTCGTGATAGAACCGAAGAAATTGAGAGACCGCTAATTGCCGATTTAAAACAGCTGATGAAGATAAAAATGATGGACACGAAGACTATAGTACAGTTCCGCCCTCGTGTGCTTCGACTCCCTTATATAACAAGCATACCGAAGATTAAAAAGGTAGGTGTCCCCATTCGCCCGATCCTGTCGATGATCGGAGCACGGCGTCAGAAAATGTCATACCATTTCTCACTTGCTAACAACCTTAACGCAGTCGCTTACACCCTTAGTGCAGAAGCTATCATTCTTAGTGTAGAAGCCATCATTCTTAGTGCAGAAGCTTTCCTCCTTAATGCAAAGGCTATCATCCGATAATCATCGCACTCGCATCCACGTAACACTGCGTGGGCAGAGGCTATCAGCCAATAGAATTCGGTATAGCGTAGAGACTGAACACAGTTATGCGCAGAATACCCACGCTTTCGGAGGTGGGTAGGAAAACTGTGAGACTTGGGTGAGACTAGCGTGGTCCAACTCAAATGGACGGCAATTTAGACTTTACTAAACGGAGCTCAGCCGGGGCACAGTGTGCCGCGCGCCCTCACTGGATAATCGGGGTGTCTGAAACATTCATTGGAGCGCGCACAGTTTCTGAGAGAAGGGAAATGCGTGCGTTCAGAACACCGGGTATAAGCCTGAAGTGCAGTCAAGCCCCTTTTGTAAGTGAGCAAAGAAGATGTCTGAGGCTAGGGCGCAAGTGATGCACGCAAGACAACAGTGCGCAACGTTGGCTTGATACTAAAATGGTGCTCTAAATAAGAGGTGCAGATAGGTTGCTTCGTTTTGGTGGGTATTCAGGCTACTTCGGTCGGATAGTTGAAGGCGCAGTAGAAGCTACCGTTTGACCTCGAAGTCAAGTTGTCCGTAACATAAGGAGTGGAGCGATCTCCGTCGCAGCAGAATGGATTCCAATCACTACGCGTAACTACTTTCTTTATGCGATGAAGTATCACTTTTGTGACGGATCCACAGGTCTAAGTTGAACGTGGGGTAGAAGATAATCATATTCCAAACAATTCGCCCCATACGAACCACACAGGTCAAATCTGGTTGGGGTAGGCTGGACAGCTCCCGGGTGGAATGATCTAATCACCAATGGATGGATGAAGGAAGCATGTGATAGATGTTTGATTGCAGCCTTGCAATTTCCTTTCAAAGGATATGTTAAACTGTAAATTACATTACTTGTCTCCTTGTTCCGCAAGTACCCAGACATGTAATATTTTGTTGCGAAGGGATTACACTACAAGCAGCTGGGCTCGTGAAATATAGGCGTATTGTGAGCCGGTACGTTCTCCGGCAGTGGTCCCCAACCTTTGTATCACCGTGCACCGGTCGGCGTCTGCTAGTTGTACCCCGGCCCGCTGAGGGGTTTGCTGAACATTTACATGTTAGATTGTTTTGAGTGAATAATTTTATTGTGATTGAACGTGTCCTGAAAATAAAATCCAGTTACACCAAAAAATAGATATAAAGTAATATAATACGTTAACTCACTAGAACGTTAAATTACGGACAACCATGAGCGCGTTCCTCTGCAACGAGACTAATCCATCTGGGGGAAATAGGAGACAATGACGCTTGATGTGTGCTGCCTAGGTCCAGTTAATTTGGTTGCTTTGTTTCGGCTGCGGACACTGCAGAAAACCCCGCTTCACACAGTTAGGTTGTCAGAAATGGCAATCTGCGCGTAATTCACTTTGACTTTAATTGCAGAACACCGGCGAAGTTGTTTGTCACGAATGTACTATCAAGGCCACCGTCATTTGCAATCTCAGTAGTGGTGCATAATGTGGGATAGATGAGTAATAATAATGCGATAATCTCACAGGTTGTGAGTCAACAGTTTAGAAACTGACCTGTAAATCGTCGAAATCCACAACATCTACAAAACCATACAAACATTTCTATTGCCATAATCGTTACCCACCAGATGGAAAAATATCAAATATAGTGTTCTGTTGCTTGGCAATTGAAAGGAAAAGAAGTTAGTTTTTCTCACGTCCAGAAGAAGTGCAAGCATGCCAGTGTGTCCACTATGTATTGCGTAGGAGCGCGAAATATCAACTTCATCCTGTGCGTCCTTGAATGTCCACGTTTTCAGAATGTTTGTAAAATCCTGTTCCTGATGGTAGTCTGATTCATTATTCACATTCTCAGCTGCTAAAATTGATGTGGTTGGCAGGTCCCAGTTTAGTTCTGTTGCGTGACATGTTTGGAAATAAGAATCAACCAGATGGCTGTCAGCCAGTTTGCATCTAAACAATTCCTCTGAGAGAGTATCCATAGCAATTACGTTTGAAGGAGGCACAATTTGCTCATATGTCTCAGGTCAAGTTTGCATTGTTCTCTCAGAATCTATTTCTGCAGTACAAGGAAATCCCGCTTTAAAAAACAGAGATGGTTGAGTTCTGCACCTCCTTCCAGGTAGACGTTTCGTAGAACATGACGTCTAATAAATTTGCTCGTTTCATGAAATCAGTTCCGGACATATCTTTGTGGGATTCCATAATCGTTATAAGATGGAGAAGCTGTTTTTTCGTAAACTTCGATTTAAGCGCCTGAATGACATCCTGGTCGTAGGTTTGACGTAACACAGTGGGGTTGGGTGACAGGAACTGCAATTTGATATTAAGTAGGTGGAGTTGAGGAGAGCGACGGCTTTGTCGAGATAAGGTATGATGTTGTGCTTTTCTGTATTTTGATGTTAAATCTTCGGAAATAGCTGCACTCATCCATGCCTTTTTAGTATCTTTGTAAACTGCCGGTAGTTTTTCATGTTGATATTTCTAAAATTCGAGTGTTGGCTGATTTCCAAAGCACTGCAGCCGGTTCCCGCTCCCTAAATATGGTAGTGCACGGCATAAGTGTGATACGCGCCTTGATTCTTTTCCCACCTGCGCATTTCTGTTCTTTTACACAAAGCCTTTATCCGACGTCGTTTTGAATAGCAAAGCAGCTTCATGTAAATTAAAAATGTCTTGAGCCGTGTAGCCGGAACATATTTCGAGCAATTTTTGCCTAGTCGGATGCAGCACACATATGTGAGTCACCGCTTTCGCCCGATTGCTTACCAAACACAAGATCGTCTACTGATGAAAGCCTGTAACCAACTGTTTGACGATGTAAAGTCTGTGTTTTGCAATTCTTTTGCGAAGTGTAATGCTCGCTCTTGAATCACGTGTCCAGATAATGGGATTTTCCGGTCAGTACTGATTGGCACTATTTCCAGCAATGTGCGCCAGCGCGTTTAAGGCATTATGCAGAGCATACTTCAGGACTTCCTCAATAGCAAGGTTATTAAGATATTTGCACCTACATTGTCCCGGAATATCCCGGACGAATGCTTTAGCCAGAAGTTACGTATATTGGCCTTTTATTAACAACGCTATACATGATTCTACCGCCACATGTAGCAAATGTGCATCAGCGACGAAACTTCCAAGCAAATTCATCCAACCCTGGATGCCAGC